AAACGCATTTCTAGAAGTAGAATAAACGCAAAAATATAACTCAGCTCCCATATAACAGTACATGAACAGATAAAATGTTACTTACAACTAACATTCCAAGTGATTTACAACTAACAGTCTCAGGAAACTCAGTCTTAGTCATATCACAGAATTCAATTATTCTTAATCACAGAAACGATTATGCAGTCTACAATAGAGAAATCGTAAATTGCATTAACAATTTACTTTTACTTCCATTTTTTAATTGAACAAGAAGAATCCTTAGGTTTATTCGAGTCACATACTCCAACATGTTCCTATCATACCACCTACCCACTCTCGTGAATACCAAACTATGGTAGGAATATGTTGCAACATGTGACGAGAACAAACCTCTTATGTTGTTTTGAATTGTTTCAGTTTTTCGTAATGGCCAGAAGAGAAATGTACCGGAATCTTTAACGTATTTGTAGACACATTATCACGTTCTTTCCATGAAAAAAGTCGTCTCTAACAGAGTCAGTGTTTACGCTTATCAGGACATGCTGAGCCAGTAGCACTTCCTTTACCTAAACCAAAATCATATTTTCTTAAAATTACAACTTATATAATATATGTAAGAATGTATAATAATTGTATAATAATTTAATTGTATGTAATTCTCATATTTTTACACATGTATAATATGTATAATAATACATGTATATCTTAGCGTATTTGATATTAAAAAGTATACAACGTTAAAAATTGAGAAGCTATAATTAATTTAATATATTTTTAAGGAATATCTACTTAAAATTGACAAAAAGATTCGTAGTTTAAATATATTGCATTAAAGCGTGTTTAGGTATAGAGATATTATATACATGAATATATTATATTAAAACTACATTAATAAAAATATATCGAAAATATTTATTGATCAAATTACTTACTTGAAACTGGTTTTAGTTATCGAAAAGTAAGATTGCACTGCATCATCCATGAGGGAGTGTGCCTTGACGAAATTAACAGTTTGGCAGTGTTCTGGAGTCGTTAACACAGGCACCGGGTCTGAGCTCAGGTACCTTTTCCTGAGCTACTCGCAGACAGTTCCTGTTTCACGATGTCTCGGTATTCCGACCTTCCGAGAATGATGATAATAAAGTGCGAACTTGTCCATCCGAATCATAAACACGTGTCTCTCATTTATGTGAGCCGCCACGATTGCACTTGCGTAACACGCACCTAATTACGCGAAGATTCCGGAGACGCTAGATTGTGGGCGTCTCTTGTTCTTTGAAAGCA